GGCGGGGCACGGGGCGGGCGGGGAGCGAGGCTGCATAACACTCGCCCCTTTATTCTCACACTTGAGCTGAATTGCCTTCCGAGGAGCCAAGAATCTCTAAGAATCGCTTGATGAAATGTTTTGGGGACAAAGACACCAAGATTCACTTCGGTGATTAAGGCTGGAAACTCAAATTGAGTGTGTGAGCTCATTGACGCCCCCCCACCCCAAGCACACACACTAAGTTCATTCAACCCCGGCTGCCCCTGCTGCCCCCGCGCCGCGGGTTTTCTAAGGATTCCTGTGTTCTCCAAGTTGTCTTGTCATCATCATCATTAGGGCACAGGAGGGGCCCTCCTGCCATTTAGCAGCGAATATAGAAGCACCATTCATTCGCCTCTCCATCTGTCTGATACGTATGACCTGGTTGCCCGGTGCTGGGTACCCAACCCTGAATGAGGCAGATGTGATTCTCTGAGCTCACAGAGCTTGAACCTTACTGGCAGAGGCCGAAATAATTTAAAATTACAGCAACAATAAAGGCTCAAAAACAGATCTATCCATGGGACTCTGCACTCCGATCTAGACGGGGGTCCGAGGGGGCTTCCTGAGGGAGGGATGAGGTGGCTGAATTCCGAAGGATAAATAAGGATTCAGCAAGTGCCCGGTGGAAGGAACAGATGCTCGGACAGTCAGAACAAAGCATGCGGAAAGCCCATGGCGGGAGAGCGGGCGGGAGGGCAATGCAGAGGAAGTGTGTCCGTCAGCTGCTGCTTTGTGACAAATTGCCGGAAATGCAGCAGCTCGAAACATGCACATGGCTTTTCTCAAGGTTTCGGGGGTCAGGATCCTGGCGTTTAAGCCTTGTCCCCTGCTCAGGGTCTCACGAGGCTGCAGTCCCGGCGATACCTCAGCTGCACCCTCGTCCAGGGGGTCAATGGGGAAGGGACCGCTTCCGAGCTCCTATTGTTGGCAAAACGCATTTTCTTGCGACGGTGGGACTGAGGTCCCTGTTTTCTTTCTGGCTGTTGAGCCGGGGCTGCTTTCAGCTCCTGGGGCCTCCTACTCACAGGCCCCCCAACAGCATGGCAGCGACTCATCCAGCCCACGGGGGAACCGCGCCCTGTCAGCTGGGGCGGAGTCCTAGAGAACGTAACCCTGGGAGCCACGCTGCCACTGTGCTCACTTAACGTGACCCAATCACGGGAGGGACCGCGGCGTCATAGGCAGTGGTTCCTCACACTACCTCCGAGCTCCTATTGTTGGCAAAACGCGTTTTCTTGCGACAGTGGCACTGAGGTCCCTGTTTTCTTTCTGGCTGTTGAGCAGGGGCTGCTTTCAGCTCCTGGGGCCTCCTGCTCACAGGCCCCCCAACAGCATGGCAGCGACTCATCCAGCCCACGGGGGAACCGCGCCCTGTCAGCTGGGGCGGAGTCCTAGAGAACGTAACCCTGGGAGCCACACTGCCACTGTGCTCATCTAACGTGACCCAATCAGGGAGGGACCGTGGCGTCATATGCAGTGGTTCCTCACACTCACGGGGAAGGGGTTCTATAGGCCGTGTACCCCAGGAAGCAGAAACCTGAGGAGCTGCCTTAGAAGCATGAAACCAGCATGGAAACTAGACCCTTAGGGTCAGCCCTGAACTCCTCACAAAGGAAGAGTCACAGAGGAGAGATTTCATAGCCATTAGGACAGCTACTATAACACACACACATAGAGACACACAGACACACACACTCACACACACAGACACACACACAGACACACACTTACACACACAGACACCCACATAGACACACACAGACACAGACACACACAGACACACACTCACAGACACACATACACTCACACAGAGACACACACTCACACACACAGACACACACACAGACACACACATAGACACACACAGACACAGACACACACAGACACACACTCACAGACACACATACACTCACACAGAGACACACACTCACACACACAGACACACACACAGAGACACACACAGACACAGACACACACAGAGATACACAGACACAGACACACACACACAGAGACACACTCACACAGAGACACACACACTCACACACACACACAGACACACACACACACCAGATGATAACAAATGTTGGTGAGGATGTGGGGAAACCTAACCCTGATGCCCTGTTTGTGGGAATGAGAAATGGGGCAGCTGCCTGGAAAACAGCTTGGTGGCTCCTCAAATAATTAAATAGAGTCACTACTAGTATATGACTCAGCAGTTCCACTTCCGGGTAGATGCCCAAAGGAATGGGAAGTGGGACTCAAACGAGTACTGGCACACCCGGCTCACAGCAGCATGATTCACAACAGCCCAGAGGCGGCAGCACCCCATGGCCATCGATGAGTGGTGAATAACACAGTGGGCCCCATCCACACACTGGGGTGTCAGTCAGCCATGAAGAGGAAAGAACTCTGCCACCGCCGGTTTGGTTCAGTGGATAGAGCCTCGGCCTGCAGACCGAAGGGTTCTGGGTTCGATTCCGGTCAAGGGCAGGTACCTTGGTTGCAGGCTCCTCCCTGGCCCGGGCCCTGGTCGGGGCACATGC